TTCTGAGAGGGCTCACCTGACTAGGTGAGTGAAATGGAAACCTTTACCAGGGCAAAGGAAGCACTGACACTGGGTGTACTAAGCTTCTGAAAATGAAATGTTTATGTGTATTATCCTTGACATTATAAAAGGAGACGGAAAATAAATAAAATAATCAATATCTAATTGGTAAACATTCCTCAGCAAACAGAGTAAGTCAATGAAGTAGAGATGTCCAGGATGCTTTTCCTTCACATTGATTTTTGCTATTTAACATTAGCTGAAATTAGCCTCTGTTGTTTTTGTTTCAATTGTCAAGGTCCTAGGGGACATTTTAGGTCACTTGAGGATTCCATAATGTGCCCGAGTCACCATGAAGGATGACAACAGAATTCACCTAAGTCGAGTGGTAAACAAATCAGCAGAGATATTTTGCTGCAGAGTCCTTTTACTTGGTCCAGGCTCTAAAAGTATTTTGGTCCCTGAAGTTCCTATAATATAACCTGTCTTCGTGGTTATCACCATTAATTGCTGTGATCTTCAAAGAGCGGTACTATAGGTCATCCTGTGACAATCTTAAGGAGCCTTAAAGTTACTTGTGGTGACAATCTTGATTTCCACAGTCATCACTGTGAGGTGGAAAGGTTGTTATAAAAGACATTTGTACAACCATATTTGGCATAAAACCATATTTGGGAGTGATACCTAGTAAGATCTATGCAATGAGTGGGATGAAGCATCGTTTCATGTGTCTTAACTACGCTGTGTTCCCTGTGACTGGGAGGGCTGCCTCTAGGTGAGTGAAAACCTGTACTTGGTCAGCTCTGATAAATAGTATCTTTGTTCTCTGGTTGTCAGCTTTACTCACATCAGAGAGGAAAGGTCTGTCTCCTTTATAAGCAGAAACAAAACCATCATGCAATTATTCTCATTTAGCTATTATTTAGTGTTAATTAGAACTTGGCATGCTGGGAAACTCTCTTCCTGGGGGAGAATTTTATTTTAGACCCTCATAGACACTGTGTAATGTACACAGCATATTTGAAGCAATGATTTATTAACAGTTACAATATTTTCCCTAGAGAATACATTTGCTCTTCACCATTAGGACTAGGTCCAATATTTATGGAATGTTCACAAGAGATTAATTATGTTTCATTTACAAATAGCCTCTAATGGGAGACATTTTTATTACAAGTGCTATTCTAATGAATTGTCTGTCTTTATGAATTCATGTCTAAGACTGAAATAATTTCTTTTGCTTCCTTTCCTCAACCCTATATTTGAGCCACTGTTGTTTGTCATGTCTTTCCTATTTCTTCTAACAGATTCATGTGATCATCCCCTCAGTTGCCTACGATGGAAACCTTGGACATATTTGGGACTCTCACTCGTCCTTCCATTCCATTTCCAATTCTCACCATATTCAAATGACTCTGTTGCTCATAGAATAAAAGTCAAATCTCCTTAATCTGATAAGCAGGCATATTAAAATCCTGATAGCCTGAACCACCGTAGCATTCCAGCTATCTGTTCTTCACCAACTGAACTATACTAGTTCTCACCATGTGATGCTCTTCTTTATTTCTCTGCCTGTGACCTTATTCATATTTTCTTTGCCCAGCATGCCCTTCTTTCTCTTTGCCTACTTACTAAGTGAATGCCTGACTGGAAACCAGCTCAAGTGTCACCCAGACTTTTCACTCCCCTCCACCTTGGCAGGATTAGTAACTCATTTATTTTCTTCTAGAACTGAATGTATACTTTATGTTCTTTATGTATATGTACATCTAACTCATGTGTAACAGTAATATTTTAAAGCTTCGGTATGTTTCTAAAATTTTTTGTGTCTTTCATGTATACCATGTTAATTTAGCACATGATAAAGGCTTGGTGAGGGTTGCGTGGTTAAACTGAAAGTCCTGTTAAAAGAAGTAACAGAACGGAGTAATGTCTCAGTGTGTATTCCATGTAAATACTGCTTTGTGGTTGATGATGGAGAAGAAATGGATACAGATAAAGAAGAAAGTCTGATAGTACACCATACACATCCACAACAGAATAAATAGATATAGAGACATAGCAGTTTAAAGCACAAAGGTATATCAGAGGTTACCAATAGTCACAAAAATAATCTACTTTTATTTCATTTGTTCTCTCCTCGCCCTATAGCCTTGGCATTTTCCATGTCATTTGCCTTGAAAAACAGCTCCCACAGTGGCTAAACCATAGTAGACACACAATAAACATGTCTTGTATGAATGGATGGATGGATGGATGGATGGAGAAATGATATTATACCAGCTCTTTCATTTCACAGTTCAGAAAAACAGACCAAAGGTACAAAGAATAAGAAAGCAGAAACAAACTCTTTTCAAGCTGCTGCCATATGCCCTACACTAAACTAGGTGCTTTTGCCTCAGTTATTTAATTCTATTCTCTGAAGAAAGTTATACGACCATTATGTGAGATGAAGAATTTGAAGCTCACAATCTGTGTGCCCTATGATCACAAAAATCATTTGTAACTCTTGTTCTTATGCTGTGTCTAGTGTAGAGTCTTTTCAATGCCACTTGCTGGCATGATATTGATGGACAGAAATATAACTGATTATTGGTTTTGGGGAGCAGGAATCTCTGCTTTTTATAATCTGTATTGTTTAGATAGTAGCAGGTGAGTAGATATGGGGAGAGGGGATCTAGTCACAAGATCAATAGAATTGAAGGCTGAAAACCAGTTTAGTTCCTAATCTTGATACTTTAGTTGGGGTGAGTCCTTTATTGTCTTGGAAATGTAGTTTTCTCATTTATAATGCAAGGCACACAATACCAACTTGTGGTGTTCTATGGTGAACAGATGAATACTGCCTATGAAAACACAGTTTGCCCACATAAAAAGAAGGTATTACTATTATGAAGCTTATGTAAGAATAAGAAAGTGTGTATAAAAAGCCTTTCTCAGCTGTACATTCGCGCTCTTTTGTTTCCTTTGTTACCGCTTTGTAATTTCACAACATCTTAGCCTTCATTTGTGTAAACAGATGAGAACAGGATAAATAAGCATTTCTCCACTAATGTGATTTGTATACAATATATCAGATTAAATGAGCTTCTGCTTCTGATTTGTTTGAATTCACAATTCAACATAATTTGGTAATAGAGAAATAATAGTTGAAAAGACATCTGTTTCTTGTCATAAGCTTCTATTTTCATAAGAAAATCAAAGCAGTCCAAGAACAGGAAAATTATGAAAACTAACATTACTGCACCGTATTAACTCTCTGATGAGGAAAAAAAGCCACGGACAGTTTGTTTTGTTAATTATTGAAAATCCGACTTTTCAAATGTTCTGCATTAGTGGCAGTTCTATGCATACATTTAAAAATGAACCTGATCAAAAAAGAACTTGCATTTTTCAGTTTTATTAATATTATCCTTTACTCAAACAAGGTACAGAAAGTATCACTTGCTTTTGGTTGGTGACTTCATTTCTAACCTTTAACATCAATACTACCTTATGGTCATTTATTAAATTAGTTAAGACCTGCACCTTTCCATTTTTATATAAATTTTAAGTTAAAATTAAATAAATCCACACAGTCAAAATAATAAGAGTAATTAAGACATATTTTCAATATATCCTTTAGGATCTCTGATGGTCATACATTAGAGATCTCTGTGGTGTTAGGAATGAATAGGACCTTGAAATTCATCTAATTCTGACCCTTTTCTTTCATAGTTTGGGAAATGAGGCTGTGAATGGCTGAAAAAAGGAGATATGCCAGTTCTTAGAGAACAAAGACAAAAAAAATCTCCAAGCTAGCTTTTGAGTACCCTTCTTACTGTACTAGATCAGAATATAATTAATTTTGACAAGTATAACTCAATTCTCATTTACCCAAATAATATCAGGGAAAACCTTGCTCAACACTTACATTAGCTCTTTGGATGTAGACACTGATGGAATGAAGATATGTATCTGGGAGAAGATGAAATAAATTGGATGATAGGAGACCTCAATTGCTTGGAATAATTGGCTAAGTCTAACAAAAGGGAATTTAACAGAGAGAGAAATACAAAATCTGCACTTAACAATACAAAAACCTATGGCAAAAGTTCAACAAGTGGGACATAAGGCTTAGCAGCACGACTTTTTTTTTTTTTTCAAAAGTGGCTATTTTTAAAGAACTAAAAGTTCTATGAGTTTACTTTTGTCTTCCCAAAAGGAACTGAATTTTACTTAACATGATAGAAGTTTACATAGAACGATAAAGGTACTCTATACCATCTACTTATCCACGTATAATTGAAATTATGGGTGTGAACACTGATAAAGTGGGGCATGTAGAAGGGAAAGAACAGAATGTTAAGTTGACTGAGACCCAAGTATATTAGGAAAAGTTAAAGGTAGTTAGGTATGTGTCTCTGGAGAATGGAAGGTCTGCATCTGCTATTTTAGAGAAATAGGGGTGAAATGAACAGGTAGTTTGCAACTAAAAAGGCTGAATGATTGGGTGGAAAGAATTCAAGATATAACATTAGAAAGCATAAGTCTGAATTTTGGTGCCATCATTTATAAGTGGTGTGACCAAGGGAAAATCTCTAAGAAAATGCACAACAGGTTCTTGATCTGTAAGATGAGAGTAGCAATACCTATAATGCAGGATGGTTATGAAAATTAAGTTAAATTAAACAACATCGGAAAAATACCTACAGTACACAGCATGCAGTACTTAAAAGATATTGACCTTTCCACTGCTTTGTCAGTAGAGTCATGAGAGATTTTTATTAGATTTTATTAGCAGAGTATCTTGTATAGGGGTTAAGTGGAGATAGGAAGGTTAAATGTACAAGATCCCTGCCAATGCTGTGTGACATATTTATATGTTGATCACCAGCATTTTGTTGTACTTTATACCAGGAAATATTGTTCTTTAAAATATTTGATTCCTTACCGGTTATACTGCCTTTTAAAGTCATGACAAGTTTCCATCACTATATCTCGCAAAATCGCTTACTTACCTATAAAGTGCAGAGAGGGGCCTCTTGTTTCCAGGTTTTGGTCTATATGGTTTGGGTTCGCCTGCCATATTGATATCTGAAAGCAAAAAATAATATATAGCACTGATTAAGAAAAATTAATCCATTTGAGAAAGCAAATCATGAGGTTTTCTTTTTCCTTTTGCCATTTGCCTCTATGAATGTTATATGCCATTATTTATTCAATGGTTATTTTTCTCCAGCCTACGCTAGCCCAGCCACTGCTTGAGCTATGTCATGCACGAATCTGGTTAGCTCCATGCCCTCATAAAACTTACTTTTACTGGGAAGAAATAGATAGTAAATAACAAACAATATAAATAATAAAAATATGTAACATATTAGAAAGTGATAAGAACTATGAAAAAAAGACAATGTTCAATGAGGTAGGGAAATGAAGAATGTTTAGTAAAAAAGAGCGAGAGAGAAAGAGATATCCTTCTAAATTGGATTTTTGCCAGAAATAACTTGGTTTGCATAGATTTTTGCATGGAATAGAGCTTTGTTCATAAGAGGAATTATTAATGTTCCTTGACAATATCTTTCCACCTATGTAGAAAAAAAATGTAGAAGGCTGGAATTGTAGAGCATACCAAGTTTACTGAGGGAATAACAAACACAATGCACTCAACAGCTAGAATGTGTAGTTATAGTTCTGGGGTGGTCAGAAGAAGAGAGCACATCCTTGGCCTTCTGAACTAAAACTGTGATAAAATCTCTAAGATAAGACGATAAAATACTTAAATACATAACAAGAGTATTTACATACAATTGACCAACTTCTGTCTTAAAGATGATTGTAAAACTGTAAGGGGGTTAAAAAGTTGGGTGACAAAGATTTGGAAAATTACACAAAAAACAAGATTTAATAAAGTTAAAATTTCTAAAACATGATAAGAAGGAAAATCTAAAAAAGGGCAAACTTTAAGAAAAGCTTTGAAAGAACTGAGGGACATTATTTTGACAGAAAAGAAAAGAAATGCTTCTCTTCCTTACAGTGGACTAAATACACTGGATTAGGGATGGGTGAGCCAACCAGCAGTGAAAACAACCAAATTTCTACATAAAATACAGTGACGCTTGAACACTGGTGTGAACTGCACTGTCCATTTATATGCAGATTTTTTTCAGTAAATACAGTACAGTGCTGTAGTAATGTATTTTATGATTTTCTTGACATTTTCTTTTCTCTAGTAGCTTACTTCTATTATAAGAACACAGTATATAATACAGGTAACATACAAAATATGTTTACTGTTTATGTTATTGGTATGATTTCCAGTCAACAGTAGGCTATTAGTAACTGAGTTTGGGGGGAGTCAAACATTATATGTGAATTTTTAAAAGATATTTATTTATTTATTTTTTATTAGAGAATGCATTTTTTTAAAAGATTTTATTTATTTGAAACAGAGAGAGAGATCACAAGTAGGCAGAGAGGCAGGCATAGAGAGAGAGAGGAGAAAGCAGGCTCCCTGCTGAGCAGAGAGCCCGATGCGGGCCTCGATCCCAGGACCCTGAGATCATGACCTGAGCCGAAGGCAGAGGCTTAACCCACTGAGCCACCCAGGCGCCCGAGATTTATTTATTTATTTGAGAAAGAGAGAGAGAGAGTTGGGGAGGGGCAGAAGAAGAGGGAGAAAGCATCCCAAGCAGACTCCCTGCTGAGTGCAGAGCCCCACCCGGGAACTGGATCTCAGGACCCTGAGATCTTGCCCTGAGCCAAATCAAGAGTTGGCTGCCCAACTGACTTAGCCACACAGGCACCCCTATACATGAATTCTTGACTGCACAAGGGGTCAGTGCCTCTAACTCCCATGTTGCTCAAGGATCAACTGGAGAATGTATCTCTTTTTAAAAAATACAACATTGAGCTAGTAAGAAAGTAAGGCATTCACAGAAGCCAACACCTGAGTGAAAGCAGAAACTTAGATCGAAGTGGAAGACTGACTCTAACCTTATACCTTGAAGACATTTATTGAAACCAGAACTTGAGCTTTAGCTTTCATGTCCTTGTGAGCTATAGTGGGCAGGAGACAGTGCCCACCTTAAAGAATATGAGCCATATAATCACTAAATTCAATATCCATATGCATTAAAATCCTCAATTAAGAAGAGATGGAAACTTCCTCCTTCTGACTGATAAAGAATATCTAGAAACAAGACAAAACAAAACAAAAAAACTCCAGAAAACATCATACATAATAGTGAAAAACTGGTCACATTTTCTTTAATATCAAGGAATTTATTTTATTTTACTTATTTGAAAGTTTATTTATGTATTTATTTTTAAGTAATCTCTACATCCAACATGGGGCTTGAACTCATGACCCTGAGATCAAGAGTTGCATGCTTTTCCAACACAGCCAGCCCCTCGTATCAAGGAATTTAAAAGGGCACTCCCCATTAACAATTCTGTATAGTGCTGTATTGGATTTCATAGTCAGTGAAGGAAGACAGGAAAATAGTGTCAGAAATGGGAAGGAAGAAATGAAACTGTTGATAATAATTGTTGATAATAATAGATCCACATAAACACTCCAAAGCATCCACAAATTAGTACAATTAATAAAAGAGTTTAATAGATTTGTTGGATTCAAAGCCAATATACAAAATTCAACTCCATATGCCTACATAGTGATAAATGTTTTAAAAACATAATTCTGAAAGATAAGATTTATATAGTATAAAAGTAAAGTACCCAAGAATAAATACATTATAAAATTTTAAAGATGTTTAAAAAGAAAATTATAAAATTATCTTGGAAGATTTTACAGTTACCTTACATAAATAGAGAAATTGGAAACCTTGATATAATGAATATTTTAATTCTTCCAAAGTTGATTTATTGATTCTATATAATTTCAATAAAATTACCAAACATTCTTTTTATGTCTCTGCAGAGTTGGATAAGCTGATTCTGAAATTTATATCATAGAGCAAAAGGTCAAAATAACCCTTGGGGAAAAAACCAAAGGTGGCAAAAGTTGCTTTATCAAGATTTATTTTAAATTGCAGTAATTAAGACTATAGTATTGGTACAGATAGAAAATGAAACGCTGCAACATAGTAGAGGACCACCAAACTGACACACAGATGTGGATGTCTGAATTAGAACAGAGATGGCATAGCTGATCAGTGAGTAAGGATAGGCTTCTGAAGCTGTAATGGTTACCAGTTACTGCAAGGACAAATATGAAATTATCTTACACTATATGGAAGAATTATTATGGGATTAAGAACCTAAATGTGAGGGGGTGCCTGGGTGGCTCAGTGGGTTAAAGCCTCTGCCTTCAGCTCAGGTCATGATCTCAGGGTCCTGGGATCGAGCCCCGCATTGGGCTCTCTACTCAGCAGGGAGCCTGCTTCCCTCTTTCTCTCTCTGCCTGCCTCTCTGCCTACTTGTGATCTCTCTCTCTGTGTCAAATAAATAAAATCTTTAAAAAAAGAGAAAAAAAAGAAAAAAAAGAACCTAAATGTGAGAAGCAAAAATACATAAATATTAGGAGGAATGTAGTAGAATATCTTTATGACATCAGAGTATGGAAGTATAATCTTAAGCCAGACATAAAAAGCACTAGCCTTAAAATATGAGATTGATAAATTCTACTACATTGCAATAAAATAAAGAATTTCTGCTCATCAAAAGTTGCATAAAGACCATGAAAAGAAGGGCCACAAACTAGATGAAGAAATCCATGAGAAAAGTTTTGTTTCTGGAATATATAAAGAACTCATTTACCTAATAAGAAAAAGAGACAAACCACCAAATATAAAATTGGGCAAAAAATGCAGGAGAGGCACTTTACAGAAAGATGAATGCTGAATAAAGACATGAAAAGACTCTCAACCTCACTAGTAATGGAGAATTCAATTTTAGTAAATGTGCTGCTGAAGTGAGCACAGTAATGGAGAATGCAAATTAAAACACTATGGGATAGCATTGATACCCACTGAATTTACAACTTACAAAGTCTGCTAATATCAAGAGTTGGTTAAGTTTGGAAGCAACTGGAATATGTGTACATTGCAACTACACTGCAAGTATAAGCATAAATTGGTACAATTACTTTGGCAGATAATTTAGCAGTTTATAGTGAACTTAAAATACCCACTAGGTAGGCACCTGAAGAAACTCTTGCATAGCTGTACCATAAGATATATACAAGAATGCTCACTGTAGTACACCAAGATAGAAAAAGTTCCTAGAAAAACACATATATCCATTGATAGTTATCCATTGGTAGGATAAATGAATTGTGATATATTACAAAATGACACACTATGCAACAGGGGAGAGTGAGAGAGAGACAGACAGAGAGAGAGACTTAGAGCCATCGGGGCAACAACGCCAAATCTCAGGAACATGTAACACTGACCAAAAAATGATGTCAGGGAATGACAAAAGGAATGAATCTTTTTATGTTAATAAAAATACAAATTTAAACAAATGTTACATAGGAATCAAATATTTGTAATAGGATAAAAGAAGAGCAAGCAGAGACAAACAATAAATTTAGAATGAAGGTTACCTTTAAAGGGCAGAAAGGAATGTGGAACTTGGGTAGGACATCTCGAAGACTTGAACAGTAATTATAATGTACTACTAAGCGTGCATATGTAGTGGGAGCATGAGTTTCTAACATAGCATCATTCTTTATAACTTTAATGGAGTATAAATTTTATTTTGTATATATTTAATAACTAATAACGAATTAGAAAAGAAAATGAGAGCAATGATGGTAAATTGTGAATTGAAAAATATTCAGGTCAGGGGTAGTGAGTTTTGGTGAACAAGTGGTTTCAGCAAAGATTGTGAACAAGGAAATAGCAGGAAAGGAGAGCAGTTGGGTAGTTGGGTGGATTATTGGATATGAGTAGATTAGTAGAGACCCCAATTAGAACTTTGCATCTAATCTGCCTGGGATACAATTTTGGGTTCTGAGTAGAGGACAGTTGTGAGAATGTATCATGAAGACAGTGACTCTTGTATGATTTGGATTAAGGCACAACCCAAAATCAAGGCTGTCTGAATCTTTCAGATGTGACACAGTCGGA